GGTTCGGGTTAATTACACAATACTGCTTATATAGTATTAAACAATAATACTGTTCTGGCTTACATACAAATTCGACTTAAGGACAGACCTTGGGAACAGAACTCATTCTTAAAAACTGGAAACTACCTATATATATGAAAAAGAGCAAACTGGGATAATGGAATTATAGTTCAAAATGTTTGGCAAACATCAGGTTTATGGTTTAGTAATTGGATTTAAAAATGAATTGAATTAAATAAATAAATACTAAGCTTAGACTTATCATGAGGATTGGTTAGAGAGAGATTATATAAATCATGCTTACAAAACTTCAGGAGCAGGGAGAAGCAATGTCAACTTGATAAAATATATTAAAAATAGCAAGCATATTTATGCCTACAATATCATCAAAAATGCAAAATGTTGTATTCATTGCACATGCTCTATTTCATATTTCTTAAATTTCTATTTGCATTCTCAAGTTAGGTTGTTTTCTAAAACTCTATACTTTTGTGAAGAATTGTCTTGTTTTTACTATTTTTGCAGAAGTTCATAGATACGGTAGAAGTAAAGGTGCACTTCAGTTAACTTTCAGTGCTATTGTTCAATCTGAGTTCTCCTATTCATTTTTAATATGATGAAATAATCAGCAAATCCTTTTTTTTTTTTTAATGGTGAAATTTTCTTCTTACTGTGTTCCCACGCATGAGCAAGATGTGAGGTAGAGCACATAATGTTATATATTTTCTAGGATAGCTGACATGTGAAATTGGATCTCTGGCCACACATTTTTCTCAAAAAGTATTTTGAACAATAAGCTTCAGTATTCCTAGACAAAAAAATTGTTTTAGTGTTTTTCCTTAAAGAAAAAATGCTTATCAACACATAGTTTTGTTTTTTTTAAGTATTCATTCTTTGTGCAAATGTTGCATATTTATTTTAGGTCACAAAGATTTTACAGTACGAAATATTTTATAACCCATCTCAGAATCAATTCAGTTAATTTCTATGAGTTAAAAACTGTGCAAATGAGTTTGAAGTTTGGACATGAATAAGATAAATATGATATTTGCTATAGATAATCTTCAGATTACACGTCGCAGCATACGAGTTAAATGACAGGATGTCGAAAGGATCTTGGGGATGCTCAGTTATTACCAGTTCCTGGAAGAAATATGCTGAAATGGAGCTCCAGGAAGGATCAAGATGGTTTCCAAGCTTGTAACCCCACTAATGTTAATATATACTCAGTTTTACGTGGTTTGTTGATAAATTTATTGCCTGGTGTATACATGACATCTACTTCCTGTGTGAGTATGTTTAATATTTTGCCAAAAGTTTATCCAACTTGGATACATGGTTCTAAATGCCTGGAAAACCAGATTGAGTATTAAGCTGCTTATGATAACATGGCTTTGGTTTTAAGATTCATCAATATATGACAGTCTGGACACATGGAGCAAAGTGTATTTAGCCTCTTGTTAGCCAATTTTGCAGAATGGAATAAAAATAATTCTAATAATTGCCAGGATTTTTCCAGGATTAATAATGGAGACTTAGCTTTATAGAAGAATACCAGAGTATGTCTCCTATATTTCATTAAAAATAACTTTTCTACTACTTCAAATGTCAGAAAATAATAGAACAATAAAATTTGGAAAATAATAAAATTTAGTCAACTTCCCAAAAGTTATTAAACCACCCCTACCCTTTAATATAAAGAAGTTGCTATTCTGTGAGAAAGTGTGTGAATTTAAATGTGTGCTTGGAGGTGAAATGTAACATTATGTGGGACTGCATCACCAAGCTGCAATGCAACCATTTTAAAACTTTATTTTAATTTGTTTTTAAACTCTTATTCCCTTGACATCCAAATATAGCTTTTATAATTAATCTGTACAATTAAATTAATCTGTACAATGAT